GGTGTTGGTAGTGGGGTTGAAAAGGATGTCCTGCTTAGGGCTGGGTACTTGGTGGCATATCAGCACTGTGACCCAGTAAGCATCTCCTCACCAACTGCTGCACATGGCAGAAGGAGCTTCTCTAACCAGGGTTGAGAGCAACCAAAGTCTGTCATCAAGAGCTGTGTGGATGACATCAGCCCTGTTTTCTTTTGAATTACAGGTTGAACATCCTAAATATGAAAATGGGCTCTAATTTCCAATATATATATATATATATATATATTGGTGCCAGAGTAACACTATAAGTGGAAAATCCCACACCTGGGCTAGTGATGGGTCACTGTCAAAAATTCAGGTGCACTAAAAATAACATGTGAAACTACCTTCCGGCTGTGTATCTAAGGGGAACATGAAACACATGTGAACTTCATGTTCCAACTTGAATCCTCTCCCCACGATTGCTGCCACTGACATTCAAACAAACATCCCAGACCCCAAACACTCTGGTCCCAAGCGTTCCAGAGAAGACATACTCAACTCATAAGGAGCCTCTCCTTGTAGAGAAGCTTTAGGTTTGCCTGGCTAGTAGGGACATCATAAGCGTGGTTAAAGCTGTCAGGATGAGTCACCTGACACTAGCAGGCGATGGTTAAGTTTGGTCCTCCAGTTTCCCCTAACATCCTATTTTTGCTGGGGGGAAACTTCATCCAGGGTGCAACAGTGCATCAGGTCATGCATCTGCCACAGTTTCTTAGCCCTTCCTGCTTTGGTGGCTTTAATGATTTTGTGGTGAACTAAAGAACTTTAGAGACCATCTATCAATTTGGGTATTCCAGATATATTTCTTCCTTTTCTTTCATTTTTGTATAAGAAGGGAACAGACAGGGTTTTACTAAGTAGCCCAGGCCAGATTTAAACACAGGATCTCCTAGGATCAGTCTGTCTCCCTGATACTCAGCCTGACCCATACAGTTGCCAGGCCTGGAGCCAAAATCTTGTCCCCTCAGAGCACACTTAGCCGAGCTGCCACACTTCCTCGTGTGTCACATCAACAAGCCCTACCTCCAGTCACCAGCAAGGTGGAAGGAGGATGCAGAGTCTCCTCATTTGTCCCCCTGCCCAACTTCATTACCATGATCTTATATTTCAAAGGGTGTCCCCCACTGCCACTCACCCCACACTAAGGGAAGTGGTGTGTCCACAGCTCCCCAGAGCCCAAGGGCTGGCCTGCACTGCTCCCCTGGGCTCGGACTTGCTTGGCCCACCTCAGATCCAGGTTGTTTGTGCAGGATGGCTCCAAGAGCACAGGGACAGACCCACCCAGCCTAACAGAGCCCTTTTCATCAGTCCACAGCGCTCAGCATTTATCCCCGCAGGCCCGCTGCATAAAAACAGAGGCACAAGGAGGCCTGGCAACACTTCCTGCCTCCTGAACACAGCTTTTGGAATCCAGTGTGCATCTCTATGGTGTGGAGGATGAAGAGGGACAAATGTCCAGTTCAGGAACCTGGGCTTAGTCATGGCATCTGTCAGTTTAAAACAACCTTCTACTTTGGGAGCCCATTATATCACCTCAGAAATAGAATTGTCAGGAGTCTCCTCTATGGTCGATAAAGTGGAATGCTATGTGTGAAAGTTCTCTGGGGAGAGAGTAGTGCCCTCTTCACTCATTGCTAACATGAGTCTTGTGCTGGGGGATGGGAGGCAGGGTGGAGGTGTAAGTCTTGAGTCCTGTCCTGGGGACATGAGTCCTGTGCTGGGGACATGGGTCCTGTTCTGGGGACATGAATCCTGTGCTAGGGGAGGGACAGCATCTGTTCTGTGCTTTCTGTTGGGATGAGAGCTGTTTCCCCTCAGTGTGGGAAGACTTAGAAAATGCCCATACCTGTGTGTGGCAATGGAGACAAATACATTAGACAGGAGCTTCACCTGCCACTATGGCCAATTTGACAGTGGTGTGGGAGCTACCTCGCATACTGTAGAATACTCAGGAGACTCCCTGGCCTCTACCCTTGAGATCCCACCTCCTTCGGTTGTTATCCTGGGGATGCCTGTTCCCTCTCTTGGGTCCCTTTCCTTTCATGTATCTCTCTCCCAAAGCCCACTGTTTTTTATTTGGTTTTGGAGTTTTGTTTTGTTTTTGCTAAAAGTTAAAAGCAAACCCATTTCAACGTAGTGTGTGTGTGTGTGTGTGTGTGTGTGTGTGTGTGTGTGTGTGTGGTGACTCACACATTAGGCTGGGAGCCCAGGATCCTCCCTCTCCCCTCTCCACACCTGCGTGTCAAGTTCTGTAACAGCAGCAGTGGTAGCTAGATAACAAACTTTGGAATCAGATAGATCTCCATTTAAAGCCTGGCCCTGCCATTTAGTTGCTGTGTAGATTCTGAGCTGGTTGCTCACTCTTCCAAGCTCTGGACATAATGGATGTGGCCTCCTAAGGAGGGGTGAGTAGGGGGTCAACAAGCCAATGGATGTGGCCTCCTGGGGCTACAGGTAGGGGGCCCGACAAGCCAGCTATAAAATGTTGCCTGCATAGGACAGGTGATCCTGCTTCTTGGGCCTCTGTTGCCCTTAAATGCCTTCTGCACTGTCCTCAGTGAGTCTCTGATTATTCCAGAGGACAAGGCTTCTCCGTGAAGCCCCACTGAAGCTTTGAGAATGAGTCTGTTGAAAGGCTCTGAGAAGGTTCATGCTACACCCTGAAAATAAGTTATCATGTTTCAGGGAACCAAAGGGTTCCCTAGCACTGAGATTTAAAGAAGTCCTAAGGAAAGGGACCAAGGAAATGGTAAACTAAGGCACAGAGAAAGATGAGAGAAAAATGAAGAGGGGGTCCCTGCCAATCATCCATAGCTGTGGATCTAACAACCCCAACAAGTGCAGAATGAACCCGAAAGCAGGCTAGGCTTGGCATGAAAGTCCTGCCACTCTATGTGCAGCCCTGACCATCCTGGAGACAGGATCTCCTTAGATGATGGCCACTGCCTCACTTTTGGAATCTGCTCTGACTGCTCCCCACCCCACCCAGCCCCCACACACTGGCACAATAAGAGCATCCATCCTGGCAACCAGATATCCTCCATGATCCCACCAGGCCTGCCTTGGCAGAGACAAGGCGGCTCAGGCAGGCAGAGCTTCAAGGCAAAAGTAAAGTGACACCCGTGTACTTGGATGCATGAATTCTCCCCAGGGGTGTCTGTGCTTCTGGCATCCCAACCAAATAAAAGTCTTCCACAATGAAGAGGATGAGCCATAGGTCCCATGGGTATCTGTTGCCCATATGCTCACCTCCAGTGGCAGGAAGTCTGGCTGGCCATCTTCTGTTCAGTGAAGTAACTGCCCCACACAACTGGCTTGCCTGATGACAGTGCAGGTAGGTATGGCAATCCCTTACCATAGCCTGTGTATGTGCTCCAGAAGCTGTGTTCCATGGGCAGTATGGCCTCAGCTTCACCATCCGAGGCCCTGTGCTTCCTATCCATATGGCAAGGCAGCAGTGAGCAGCCCAGCCTATGGTATCAAACCCAAATTGGACATCATGGCCCATCCTGTAATCCCAGTGCTTAGGAGGATCAAGGGTTCAGGCCAGGCTGGAGAGATGGCTTAGAGGTTCAGAGAGCTAGCTGCTCTTCCAGAGGATCTAGGTTAATTCCCAGCACCCACATGGCAGCTCACAACTGTCTATAAGTCCAGTTCCAGAGGATCTGGCACCCTTACACACACACATATATGTGGGCAAAACATAAATGCACAATAAATAAGTTATATTTTAAAAAAGAGTTGAAGATCAGCCTGGACCACATGCTAAGTTGAAGAACAGTCTAGGATACACAGGAAGACACCATCTCAAAAGTAAAGATGCAAAAAGATAGGAGGGGGAAAGAAAGGAGAAGGGAGAAGAAAGAAAAGAGAGGAGGAGGGAAGAAAAAATAAATCCAGGACATCCACACAGCAGTTGCCAGAGAAGTCCCTCAGAGCATCTTTAGGGGCAGTTAGCAATGATTGCTGGACAAGGCTGTAAGCCATAGGTTAGGGGTCAAGGGTCAAAAATCAGAATATAGTAATTGGATGTGCCAAGAGAGCCAGGGTGGCCTACAGGCATTCTTTGTCCAACAGTAAAGTATGGGGGAGTACAAAGGGCCTGGGAAAGAGGGTAGGGGACACTGACATCCACATACCTAACCATGAGGTCCGAGAAAGACCTTCCCATCCCTCCTGCACCACTCAGATGGCATTGTCTTACAGCTCCCAATCCCAGGGTTTTACCAGATCCTGGCGTGGTGGTGGGAGAAAGCCAACTCCCCAGATTGTCCTCTGACTGTCACTGATACGCTGCAACAGACACACACACACACACACACACACATGCACACACACACACATGCACGCACAATATAATTTTAAAAGAACCTGTTTGACCTAAGCAAAATTTCCAGTTTAGTCCACTCCTCGGAGTAACTCATCCAAGTTACCGGAATAAAACCTCTACCCCACACCTGAGGATCTGTTAAACTATTTCCTCTTGCTAATCTGTCTCAGACACTGGATATAAGGAGAGAGAAGAAATCCTGTCCCCACCCCCACCCCCAGAGTCACCAGTCATGGAACAAACACCACCTGGCATGAGGCCACCATTAGAGGCCAGGCTTTGAATGGATACAGTAGCACTTAGATCCCATCCCAGAAGAGCAAATTACAGTTGTTCCCCATCCCCCAGAAACACTATTTGGTGCCCAAGCTGAACCTGAATTTCTAGTCTTGGGTTGAGCAGGCATTACTCCAAGGAAGTAGGTATTTCCACATCCATGTCCATCCTCACTTCCTCTTCCTGGAATTATTTTGTATGTCCCAAGCTACATACTGGGCTAGAAGCCATATGGAGGTGGCCAGCAAGACTTGCAGCACTCACACTTCCCCTGCGGTAAGTTACAAGCTGTCACTGCCCCACACCCTCTCTGAGGAGACATCAGCACTGGTAGCCACCCGCCTGCCCGTGCCAAGTCCACAGGGGCACTCACGATGTTCATGAGTGTGAGGACGTAGTTCTGTATGTGCTCCTTGCCATGGAAGCGAACCACCGAGTCATCTACTGCCAGCAGCACCTCGATGCTGTAACTTCCAGGCTTGGCATGTCGCCTCTTCCGCTCTGTGTCACCCAGCTGGTCCCCAACCAGATTCAGCACGTTGGGAAGGTCACCAAGGCCAAAGGCTAGAGCAGGGATAGAAAGAGTGGGGGACTGTGACACATGTTGAATATGGTCTGTCTTTCTCTTTTCTTTCTTCCTTTTTTTTCTTTTTGGTGTTTCTTGTTTGTTTGTTTTTTGAGATAATGTTTTTCTAAACCTGTAGCCCTTGCCATCCTGGAACTCACTCCATAGACTAGACTAGTCTCAAACTCAGAGATCTGTCAGCCTCTGCCTCCTGAGTGCTGGGATTAAAAGCGTGCACCACCATTCATCTGAAACCTTTCTTCTTTTTCAGACAGGGTCTCCTGTAGCCCAGATTGGTCTTGAACTCACTATGTAGCTGAAGATGATCTTGAACTTCTGATCCTCCTGCCTTCACTTCCTGAGTTCTGGGATGACAAGCATGTATCACCACACCCATTTCATGAGATGCAGTTTCGTGTACCCAGGGCATCCTGACTGCCAGAAAAGCGCTCTACTGGAGTCCTACCCCCAGTCCCTCAGGCTGTTCCTCAAAACACTCATGCATCCACTTATCTAAGACCCCACTAGATTAGGCCCTGAGCTGGGGTGTAAAGATCCCACAATGGAACTCCTAGTGGCTGGCAGATGGCAGTCGGGTGATAATGGGGAGGGGCTGCACTTGAGTCTATAGTGTAGATCAGGTGACAGATTTGGGATGGTGCCAACATACAGTGTGAGGGCTTCCTTTCTAAAATACTTCAGACCAGCAATTTTAGATTGGATCTCACATACACCAGGACAGCTGGGTAGCCCTGACTCAAAACTCCCAAGTTGGAAATGTTCCAAAATCCAAAATGGTGAAGGTTCCCGGCAGCCTGGCATCTAAGCCCCATGGTGATTCCAGGTCACTGGGAGAAATCCCAGGGAGGGGTGGGGAAGGAGCATGGACTCTCCATGGGAGGGGAGCAACAGCCAACCCAGCATGTGAGCAGCACACAGATACTCAACAACCCTGGAGCCCTTCCCTCCATGTCTACTGAAGGGAGGCTCAGAAAGGTTACCTAGCTCACCCTAGGTCACAAAGCAAATTAATGGCAGGAACAAAACTGAAAACCCAAGTCTCATTACCACACCTAGGCTAGGACCACCCAACTTTCCCTCTCAGCAAATGATAAAAGGGGAGTCTTGTGTCAACTGGGGTGTCATAGGTACTCAGTCATACTCCATGACCCTCTAGTCACAGTGAGCCAGAGCTGAGAGCTATGAGGGAGGCCACCCAAGAAGCCCAAAGTGAACGGAAAATGTACAGCTTCCCAAAACCATCAGTAATCTCCAACCCCCGAAGCCTAGAGGGACCCATGGATTCCATTCCCAGACCACACCCAAAGCCAGCTGTATTCACAGAAAACTACATGCATGTGTTCAGACCAGCACCATCATAGCAGTTCCCAAGGTGTGTGGACAGAGGAGTGTAGGCATAAAGCGGAAAATACTGTGTCATGAAAATGAGTGTGTGTTAAGACCACTGCAATGCAAAGCCCCAAACGATAAATGAAGACACCAAACCGGCCTTGAACTGAATGCCTGTGTTCATAGGAATCCACCCTCATTGTAGGGAGGACTGGAAGTTTTAAAGAGAGTGACGGGAATGTTTTGGAATTAAACAAGAGTTTTGGTTGCACACATCATGAAACCACACAATGATGTATTTTAAAGTGGTAAGTTTGGGAGCAGGGGGCTCAGTCAGTAAGGGGCTTATACACAAGCATATGTAGCCTAAAGCTGGATCCATGATCCCTAGATAAATGCTGAGGAGTCTGGCTGCCGGCATGTAGTTTTAACATGGGGAAGGCAGAGTCAGACTCCTCAGAGCAGGCTAGCTAGCTAGACTACCCAAATCCTTGAGCTCCAGATTCAAATGAAAGAGCCTGCTTCAGTGTATAAGGTAAAGAACATGTGCACACACAAGTACCCACTCATGTACACACAAGCAGAGCATGCACACGAACACACATGGACATATACACGTACATATGCTTACGGCTGAGGCCCAGAGCTGTGCCACAGAGGTCTATGATGGCTTACATCCAGCGGCTCCTCATAAAGAATGTGGGAGGAAGGAAAGAGACAGGGGCCAACCAGGACTGCAGAAGAGGGAAGTATGAGGGGATGTACAGGGAGCTCGGCATACTGAGGTGCAGCCGGAGTGTAGGGACATACCCCACCAGCCTGGCCCCAGCAGTTCAGACACCTGAAAATTAAGGGACAGCTGACTCCATTTTCTTTTTAGTCAAACAATGTTAGACTTTGACCATGTCCTAGCCAGAAGTCAACTTTTTTGACTGGTTCTTCCTCAATAATCTTGTGAATTACAGGTCATAAACTGTTTCTACTTTTCTGAGAAATGATTGACCATAAGAAGTTTCATGGTATGTCAACTGTCTGACCATAAACCCCTAACATGTACCTTTCCTGTGACCATAAAAAATAACTACAAAATTTTAGGGGGAGGTGCAGGGAAGAGGAGACAGAAGGGGAGCTGTGGTTGGTATGTAAAATGAATAACAAAAAATATAAAAAATAACTTCAAAATTTTACTTTTAATCACTTGGTATAAAGAGGCCACTCTGCCTTTAACCTGGGCCATTTCTGTTCTCCTATTATGGGAGAATGGAAATATGGTCTAGCCACTATTAAATTTTTACTTTGCAACATCTTGGTGGCAGCTCTTGGTTTTGACACCCTAACACTGAAGTCAAGCCATTGCATTCTTGACCACACCCTGGAAGAGAGCATCGCTTAGCAATTCTTTGGGGGCCCAAGTCTCAACTGTCAGAGATAAAAGCGTGAGGATCTGTGTATGCATTGTAAGCACACGTGTGGGTGCATGGCTTGACAGTGGGGGGGGGTATTTGCATGTGCAAGTATGAATATGTGAGGGGAGATGTTACTCCGGTAGGTGTTTTAGTGTGCCTGTACAGATGGGAGAATAGGAATATGTGAGTTCTGTTATGTTATGTTATGTTATGTTATGTATACAGTAGCAGTATGTAGGTGCACAGGTATGTGGATGCTGCATGAATACCCTCTTCAAGAAGCTGCAGCCAAGGCTACACCCTGAGACCCTAGAAGAATAGTCCCCTCCACCCCACCTTCATGGGTGGACACTGTACCCCTTAACAAAGAAACCTGAAGGTGTTCTTCCCTCCAGAGGCAGCTTGAGTAGCAGGCCACCTGATAAAGCCCTTTAGTCCTCCTGTCTGTCTTCTTCCAGGACAGCTGGACATCCCCAACACACACACATAGACAAGAGTCCATGGGGACACACAAAGGTGAGAAAGCCTTGGGGGGTCTGTCCCTCAGGAACCCCAGGGTCTGCAGAAGATGGAACAATGTCAAACAGTGCTGATTCTGAGGAATTAGGGCAGGTACACCCACACAGAATGAGGACAGGCAGATAATGGGCTAGCTCAAACCAGGGTGGGGGGCTCCTCTGCCAGGCTCAGAGGTGGCTCCCCACAGACCAGGCAGAAAGCAGGTCTAAGGGAACCCTTCCTTCTGCTTGCCTGTCACAAGGGGACAGGCACATCCCGCTTCTTCTCACAGGATGTGTTCCTACCAGTGTGCTGCAGAGTCACAGGTGGCCATAAAGTCCTCTACCATCCCTTGTCACTTAGACAAAAGGCCTTGGGTGGCCAGGCTGCTACACAGAGGTTTCACCCAAGCAGCCCAAGGTACAGAACACTGGACACAGTTCCCTGGGCACATACCTCAACTCTGCATGCTAGGCCTGGGGGCTGCCATCTGTGTGGTACTAAGGGGGCTGGGGTCAAGCTAGTGGAGATGAGCTAGGCTTCCCCAAGTCTCTCTTCAAAGATAGATCTATAGGCTTTGGGTTCAGAATTGGCAAAAACAAAACAAAACAAAACAAAAAATCCCAATTAAGACTTAATGTTTGCCTTAGAGAGGAGGTACTGTGCCCACTCCAGCCTTGCTCACACTGGTCAGAGTGTCCATCTAGCCCCTTGTTCCCACCTGCTGGCCTGCAGTTCTTACCAGTGACACTTGGAGAACAGCTGGAGCTTCACAGAAGTCACCCCATATGGAACAACTGGTCTTTGGGCATTTCTTCACACAAGGTCCCAACCCGCAGGACCCTGGAATGAGGGTATGGCCACTCAAGACCAAATTCCATCCAGCCCTCATCACTACTTCTCAGTCAAAGGAGCTCCATGACAAAGCTAAAACTCATTGTGAAGTTGGCTATAGGGCCAGGAGCAGCACCTGTCACATTCCCTACATCCTCTGAACCATGGTGCCAAGTACTGTTCACCAGGGAGCCAGTTGTGCCTGCTCCCAAGGGGCTCCTACCTGAGCATGCCAATGGCTGCTCCAATGACTACAGTGAGACCTACCATTCATCAAGGGCCTGCTGCTCGTGTGGCTTTGTACACACTTTGGTAAGCACCCACCAACACATACATCAGCCTTAGCAGGTGGCATTGGTCGTTTTCACCTTACTCATTTGGACAATGAGGCTCCCAGATGTTAAAGCACTTGCCTAGAATCACAGAGCAAGAATTCAAAAAGGCACACTGGACACAAGGCTGTCCCTGCTGCTCCAGGAATTGACCAACAAGGACCTTAAGAGTCTTCTTGGGACAACCACACAGCAGGGTTGACTTCCGCTACTACTTAGCCACAGCCTTCATCAGCAACACTGAGCATCCTCAGAGACCCCTGTTTGAGACCCAAGAGGCTCCCTCTAACACCTGGTTTTAGTCAGTTCCAGCAGCCCCTTCAATCCACTGGGGCTTCTCTCCTGACTTGGCCACTGGTTGTGGCCCAAGCCCATTTCATAAATGAGAAGAAGGAGGGTATGTACTGAGCACTTAAACCGGAAGTGACCCCAGAGATAGGGACACAGGTGACTTCTAGGGCCCCTGCCCATAGCCTACCTTCATTGTGAAGATCCCCATGAGGCTCTGCCCACTCCTGCTGGACAGCTTCCCGGCGGTATACCACGTGTGTCCTCCCACCAGCCTCCTTCTCCTGCTGCCCTCTCTCCAGAGGCTCGATGAAGTAGTCGGAGCTGTCTGTGCGGATGAGGCCAGCCTGCAGGCCAGGGAGAGCAGCAGCAAGCAAGAGACAGAAGAGGTGAGAATGTGGAACACAAAACACACACATGGGTGGGCTCTTCCTGCAGAGCCTGGGAAGGAAGCCCTGAGACTCCCAGAAGTTTTGTGACAGGGAGCATAGGAAAGTTAGGAAGACTGATTGTGGGAGGGGGAGGGCCCCCATTTTAAGTACAGCATGACCTGCATTGCTTGTGCTAGCCATTTGAGGCTTCATATGAGCAAAGAGTTCTATTATTATTTCTCAAGGTAAGTGGGGTGGTGCACACAGCCAGGCACAGCATTCTGACAGTGTCCTACTCCCCCTAAAGGCAAGAGGGAAACCCCCAGAACAAAAAGGGGGTCTACTCTTGGAAAGGTGTAGACCCTGCTCCAGTACAAAGGGTTATTGTTTCAGACTTAAAGCAGGGACTGTGGGCCCCACAAGAACCTAGCCAGGAGGTTGCACCAAGGGCACAGGCTCCCTTTCAATCTCACATTCTATTCACATCAAAATATTCCCTAAAAAAAATAATAAAATCAAGAGCTGGCCTTGGAAATCAAAATACAAAAATCTAACTTTGGCCAAACCCAGAAAATGTGTTATTAGCTACCAACCAAGACCATAATGAAAGAGGCCAATAAAGCTTATAAAGAGATGTGTGTTAATATACATATGCTTGCAAATGTATATAGACACACACACGTCATCTCTATAAAGTAGAAGGCCAGTCCACCTACCACGGTGCACAGAAAATAGCAGATAATGTTTAATAAATAAATATTAGTTGAATTCATTCACTTGCTCTAACAGATAGCCACTGAAAGCCTTCAGCTTTCCCAGACACCAGGGGCCCAGCTGTGAACACAGAACCGTGCTCAAAGGCACATTTTTATAAGCTGATGAGACTTCTCCATCTGAACTAGAATTCCCCTTCTTACAGCGGCCACTGCACACCATTCAGCTCCACTCACCTCCCCAGCTGGCCTGTTTGTGTCTCAGGGAAGCCCTCCCAAGGCCCCAGTGCACCTGTCCCTGCAGCATCCGGCCCTTTTCATTTGTTGGTGAAGCAGAAAACCAAGATGGTCAGGACCAAGATGGCCCCCTTCACACCTCATTACAAACCCATTCAGGAGGTCAAGAAATGCTCCAGGGAAAAACTGTGGCATTGAGATGGTGTGTGGCCTCTGCAGGCTCCATTTTGTCAGGGAATGTGATGGTCTGGGAAAATCCTGGTGTTTTTGTTAAAATGCCAGGGACAGGGCTCTTGGGCTGGGAAGACAGAGTACACTTGCTATATAAGCCTGACAACCTGCATTCAGATTCTCAGAACCCACATAAAAGCTAGACACAGTAGCACAGGCTACCCACGTAGGCTCAGCATGCCTGGGTGGGGGGCTGGAAGCTCAAGCAGGGAAACCTCAGCCAGCCTGGTACATCACACACACACACACACACACACACACACACACACACACACACACACACACCCCGAATGCAATGTCAGCATTAGCATTCCTTCAAAAGACTCAGCACCCATCCCTTACTCTGAGAAACAGGTAAATAAGGCTCAGCCTCTGGCTCCGGGAATGAGCCAAGGATGATGAATGTCCTACCATGCCCAGCACTAGGGCAGGTGTGGCCCTGAGGGATGGGTGTGCATCAGGCACCTAGTTACAAGAGCTAAAACACAACCTGACACCCATGCCCAAAGGAGCCTGTGTTGGCCCCATGGAAATACTAGCAAGAATAGAGACTAGAAGCCTAGTGTCTTGGATTACTTCCTGTTGCCTATGAGTCAAGATGTAGAACTCTCAGCTCCAGCACCATGTCTACCTGCACGCTGCCATGTCCCATCATGATGATAATGCACTAAACCTCTGAAACTGTAAGCCATCCCATTAAATGTTCGGTATAAGGGTTGCCATGGTCATGGTGTCTCTTCACAAAATAGAAACTCTAACTTTGACACATGCCTTTAAACTCAGTACCTGGGAGGCAGAGGCAGGCAGATCTCTGTGAGTTTGAGGTCAGCCTCATCTACAAAGGCAAGTTCTAGAATAGCTAGGACTGTTACACAGAGAAACTCCATCTCAAAAATCAGGAAAAAAAATAGTCCCTACAACTTATGTTGTCTTCTACTGTTTCACCTTCACAGTCCTTTGAGACAGGCACTAATACTAGACTCATTTCATACTTAAGTTTTAGCGGTTCAGAAAGTAAAACAACTTGCTCAAATAACCCAGGGAGAGACAGCATTGAACAAGAGCCCAGGTCAGGAGCCCAGGTCTGTGTGGTCCTTAACCAGTACACCGTACAACCTTGGCTCATCTGGGCTGAGACCTGGCCTTGGGTCCTTTCCTAGTCCCACCTGAAACTCTCTTGGCTTCTATCGGAATCTGGCTGTTCAGAACAAGAATGTTCACTCTCACCTCTGGCCAGCTGTTCCTGTGGACATCTCCCACTATGAGTGGGACAACAGAGGAGACCCAAAGCACAGGGCTCATGAAGGGGACAGTGCCCTCCCACTCTCCAGGGGACTTCCCATCTCTCAACCAGAAAGGATCCACAGCCCACACTAATCTTCCTACCACACCTGCAGCTCTGACCCCTCAGTCCTGTCTGTTCAGCATCCTGCCCTTAGGTCCTGCCCCAGGGCAGAGTTGAAGAATGTCACTTGAAACTATTTACTAAGTATGGCAAAAGAGCTAGACCTAGCAACTAGGGGCATACTTTGTGACTATGGGTCTCATTGGTCCCCAAAGACAAAGAGCAGAGTTTCTCCAAAGATTATTCTTATCCCATCTAGGACATGATGCTGAGGCCTGGGCCAAATCTGGGCTCTCTCTGGGCCTGAGAGACCCTTGTCATGGAGAAAGGATATGAAGACAAGCCTAGCCCTGGCCCCAGCTCCAGCTATTCCTACCCTTCATGGAAAACTCTAGGTATGACCATGACAACACAAACCCTGTCCCCTCCCCACCAGCTTTACACACAGAGAGGTTTGGCACAAGTTCCCTTGAATGCCTGCCCTGTCCAGGAAGCCAGGCACCACGCAAGGCAGACAGCCTGGCAAGCAGAGCCTCCTGGCTCCCTGCCTCCTCACTAAATCACTCCGTCTCTCAATTTATGAGATGTTTATATTTCTGAAAAGTGGTAGCTAATTTTAAAGTACTAAAATCAAATCAAATTTCTGGATAAAACATCAAGGAAAAGGGGGAAAATTATTTGTAGAAGGTTGGAAAATCAATGTCGGCCCTGTCTATTTCCACCCATTGCTCACTCACTCACAAACAGTACATAAGTAGGAAATATACACTAAGAAGGTTTCTCACAACAAAAACAAAACAAAGAATGAATCCTTGGTTACATCTACCAGAGCCAGATCCCAGGTGGGCCCTTAGCCAGTTGCTCCGGATGGAAACTCTCGGGGGAAGGCCTGGTCACCCGAGCCTTGCACTAGACTCCCTTTAATGTGGCCGTTTCTGAAGTGTCCTTCCTGGGAGGCACATAGCTAGTGGGGGCAGAGGTTCTAGTTGGATTCTTCCAATGTGCCCCTGTAGTAATATCACTTCAGTGGCAGATCCAGAGGCCTCCAGGCCACACTGACCTTTTCCCCAGCTGCCTAGGGGGAGAACTCTCAATTTCAGTGTGAAATCCCAGGGCACCGGAAGAAGCAGTCCCATGACAACTGAGGAGGGGAACGAGACTTGGAAATCACCTGTGTAAATGCCGGTGGTGATGGGGAACACACGCCTTTAATACCCACACTGGGGAAGGCAGAGTTCAAGGCCAGCCTGGTCTACAATGAGAGTTCTAGGACAGCCAGAGCTATTACACGAGAAATCCTGTCTTGAAAGAGAGAGAGAGAGAGAGAGAGAGAGAGAGAGAGAGAGAGAGAGAGAGAATCACTTTGCTATGGGCCTAACTGGCACCGGTACCTGTCTACCATCAGATCAAAGTCCCAGATATTTTAGTAGACAACAGAAGCCAAATTATTTTGAAATTTGTTCATAAGTGTGCCTTTGTATGTATAAACATGTTTACTCTAAAGCTGCATTATGTGCATGGAGATCTAGAGGTAAGGGGACACGACACTGCAAACAAACCTCCAGGGTGGCTGCAGGAAGGCCTGGGAAATGTGTTCTCAAATGAAATGGAAATCCAAGCTTAGAAATGGGCCAGACTCAGCTCCTGCAAACATGGTTGTCTCTTTGGTCTCATCACACACTCCTCTGCTAGACCACTGCCATCAACATTCAAGCCCATCCTAGCATCTCCCCTCCCTACCCAGCTGTTGATCCATTCTCATGGGGAAGAGTTGTCCATACTCACTGCCTCTCTCTAACCACTGCAAATGGGCTTCTGAAACCACTGTTTCAGAAAGCTGATTATCTTTGCCCCAGCCAGGTCTCCCCCAATCACATGCTCTCCCTAAACTTATCCCTGATAAAGACCTCATGCTGGCAGATTACCCTGATTACCCTTCTTAGAACTTCTCATACATACATGTATTCCTTTCATGCTTACCCTTGGATAGACAGAGACTGGCCAAGCAAACTTCAGAGAACTCTAGGCTTGTGTCCAGACCTGCTCTCCCTCCTTTGTTTTACCCATTTCTGGGAAAAAAAATCAAGGTATGTCAGGACTTAAGACCTGCAACTTCTGGTACCCTAACCCTGCAGTCAGTTCAACTGCCTACAAGCACAAAAGGACCCTTCAGGGCCCAGCCCCTGAGAGGCCGCACTGGACTGTTGTCTCTGAGACATAACATAAGTGCCATCCATCCACCACGGTAAAGCAGAGTTCTTGTCAGGGCTCCTCTATGTAGGGACATGATGGAGAGCAGTGAAGGGGAAAAGAGAGACAAGCCTCTACTAGTCTTAATGAACTTATATCTGGATGATATAACTTGTATAACTTGATAATTAAGACAAACAATCCAATTTAAAAATAGGCAAAGGATCTGAGTAGCCATTTCTCCAAGTAATATATGTAAA